CATTCCCGGGATCCCGCTCCCATTCCCGGGATCCCCCCCGCATTCCCGGGGTCCCCCCGCATTCCCGGGATCCCGCTCCCATTCCCGGCGTCCCCCCCGCATTCCCGGGATCCCCCCGCATTCCCGGATCCCGCTCCGATCCCGGTGTCCCCCCCGCATTCCCGGAATCCCCCCGCATTCCGGGGATCCCCCCGCATTCCCGGGGTCCCGCTCCCATTCCCGGGATCCCCCCGCATTCCCGGGGTCCCGTTCCCATTCCCGGGGTCCCGCTCGGATCCCGGGGTCCCCCCGCACTCCCGGGGTCCCGCTCCCATTCCCGGGATCCCCCCCGCATTCCCGGGGTCCCGCTCTCATTCCCGGGATGCCCCCGCATTCCCGGATCCCGCTCGGATCCCGGTGTCCCCCCCGCATTCCCGGGATCCCGCTCGGATCCCGGGATCCCCCCGCATTCCCGGGATCCCCCCGCATTCCCGGATCCCGCTCGGATCCCGGTGTCCCCCCCGCATTCCCGGGATCCCGCTCGGATCCCGGGTCCCCCCCGCATTCCCGGGATCCCCCCGCATTCCCGGATCCCGCTCCGATCTCGGCGTCCCCCCCGCATTCCCGGGGTCCCGCTCCCATTCCCGGGGTCCCGCTCGGATCCCGGGGTCCCCCCGCATTCCCGGGACCCCCCCGCACTCCCGGGGTCCCGCTCCCATTCCCGGGGTCCCGCTCGGATCCCGGGGTCCCCCCGCATTCCGGGGACCCCCCCGCATTCCCGGGGTCCCGCTCCCATTCCCGGGGTCCCGCTCGGATCCCGGGGTCCCCCCGCATTCCCGGGATCCCCCCGCACTCCCGGGGTCCCGCTCCCATTCCCGGGATCCCGCTCCCATTCCCGGGATCCCGCAGCCCCCCGAGTGTCCCGCTCCCATTCCCGGGGTCCCCCCGCATTCCCGGGATCCCGCAGCCCCCCGAGTCTCCCGCTCCCATTCCAGCGGTCCCCCCCGCATTCCCGGGATTCCCCCGCATTCCCGGGGTCCCGCCCCGATCCCGGAGTCTCCCCCAATCCCCGGATCCCCCTCCCATTCCCGGGGTCCCCCCGCATT